AACCACGGGTGGCGCAGGTGACAATCAATCAGTCACGTCCAGGCAGTGGTGGAGGACTCTTGGGTTTCTATGGGAATTAATAATATTCCAGAATTTTACGTGAATTCGACCAAGTTTGACTCGACATTCACTTGGATGCGGGGAGTGTTCACTTGCAGCAGTAGCAGGATTAAAACCCTTTCATTTAAGTCAGTTTTGTTCGTCCTGAGTAGTTCGAAATGATCTGAAACATGCATCTTTGCAAGAAAGACCTAGTTATAGAAGAGAATAGAAGTGTTCAAACAAGCCCGTCTCTTAAGACGACTAACAGGACTCTAGCTTGGGCTCACAGCACAAATGGGATCAACCATTGTTTTACGTAGTCAAATATTTTTGGGCTTTTGAAGAATCTATTGGAGCCATCACATATCAATTTTTCCAGTTAAAATATTTTGTGTCTTAAGCAGATTTAGAAAACTCAGAGAAGTCGTTCAGAGAAAATTGTTTAGTGAGGCGTTGACCTGGAAAATATACTATTATTCATCTTATTAGTTATATGCGAGTTTGAGAGAAAATAATATAATTATATCTATATTTCTCATAATGATTTTTAGATTGGAAATTATTTCGAAATGTCTTCATTTCTTCAGACTTGTCCAAGGTCAAAAGCTTGACCAAATCCACCACGAAGTAAACCTACACGAAATCTGCAGGGATTTGTGTTCAAAAATATTTTAATTTGCGTGTTTTACTTCAACATAAGTTAAAGTGCCAGCAAACATGCAGGTTTTCATGAGGAAAACGTTCCTAAAGACTATATGTGTAATATTCTTCACTTCCGCGTTCCTCATCTTTGCCCTCAGGTACGTATAACAAAACCCCAGAAGAATAAAATGATTCGAACGAAGTCGATTTCAGCAAAACTATAATGACATTTCTGGTAAAAATTCATTTAAAAATACTTATGGTTCCGTATCTTCCACTCAATTTTTCAGCTGGAAAATAGATCAATGTACTGATCTATCTATGTACATAAACAGATCAATCAACGCCCTGCAGCCAGTGGTCAGGCAGCAGCACCCGGCAGAAATACTCGAAATATTCGTTCAGCTTTTATTAAAATTCGTTCTGTTGTTATTAAAAATTCACAGACAACACTAAAAAAGTCGTTATTTATATTTATTATTTGTTTAATTTCCTTCCCTAACAACTTTAACTTAGCATTCTATAAGCACGGCTAGGATCGCCTGCCACATTCAGTTTGCATCACATCAACATCCCCGGCATCTACCTGCCGTGTCAAGTTTCCACATCAACATCCCCGACATCTACCTGCCATGTCAAGTTTCCACATCAACATCCCCGGCATCTACCTGCCGTGTCAAGTTTTCACATCAACATCCCCGGCATCTACCTGCCGTGTTAAGTTTTCACATCAACATCCCCGGCATCTACCTGCCGTGTCAAGTTTTCACATCAACATCCCCGGCATCTACCTGCCGTGTTGAGTTTTAACATCATCATCCCCAGCATCTCCCTGCCATGTCAAGTTTTAACATCATCATCCCCGGCATCTACATGTCGTGTTAAGTTTGAACATCATCATCCCCGGCATCTAGCTGCCATGTCAAGTTTCCACATCAACATCCCCGGCATCTACCTGCCGTGTTAAGTTCTAACATCATCATCATCGGCATCTACATGTCGTGTTAAGTTTTAACATCATCATCCCCGGCATCTACCTGCCGTGTTAAGTTTTAACATCATCATCATCGGCATCTACATGTCGTGTTAAGTTTTAACATCGTCATCCCCGGCATCTACCTGTCGTGTTAAGTTTTAACATCATCATCCCCGGCATCTACATGTCCTGTTAAGTTTGAACATCATCATCCCCAGNTTTGCAAGTGTTCAAAATTAACCAGCACAGGCTTTCGTAACAGGGAAATGTGATGTGATAATAAAGTCGTTCATGAGCAGCATTATTTCTCAAAGTAACGTGAGCCGTATAATTTCTCAAAGTAAATTCTAACTTTGCAAAATTATACCCCATAACATGAAAATTCAAATTTCAACGCAAATCGAGAGGATAAATTGGAGATCACGCGGCGATATAATTGCAATGAACATTCCTGCGTTTTCGGAGTCACTTGCAGGTGAACCTGATGATATATGGATTCCTGATGGAATTCCATATGGTATATAGGGTCAGAGGGAACAAGTTTAAAACAATAATTATGCATTTCCATGGAGTCAACGACAGCTGCACGCTCGATTGATCTTGACCACGATTCGTTATCGTGCTCTAACAATTATTATCGAGTTAAACCCAAATGATTAGAAAGGAACTCCGCCAAACCACTCATCTTTACAAACATTTTCAACCAGTCTTTTGAAAAGGAAAAACGAACTACAAATGAAATTTCATTCCTCTTACATTTTAAAATGTTTGAAGAATCCATGAATATAGTACGGAAATTATTACAGGGATGATGAATGATAAATGCACAAAAAATGAACATGTATGACGTAGAACTTTATAACACTTTTATATTCGTAAGAACTATTACTGCCATTTTTACTGTTGTATTGCCTGCTCTATCATTTTTCAGTATATATTCGATGGTTGAGATTTGATGAAGTAATTTTTTACCAGATGAAGTATTTTCGACTTCATATCTAGTGAAAAGAATCTGTAAAACCAATAATTGGTAGCCTTTTATTTATACAAGGGATTTTTCTAATGTTTATGAAGAGAAGAACTAGATGGATTCCCTCGAGTTTCACTCTCCTTGACGCTTCATGAACAATCTGATTTCTCAATTAATATGTTGCTGCTCGTGAACTTAACAATTTTTATGCCCATGAGATTGTAAATTTATGGGTTTGCCTGTTCACGGTTATTTCATGTTTATTTGTCTTCATTTGTTGTTTTAGGTTCTGTTTTATTCAATGTAATGTCTTGTTCATGAATTGCTTGTATCTTGCTTGTATCTCTGGCTAGGATTTTAAAGTAACACCGGAGCTGGACTCCGAATTTGTTGTTTACAAATAAATGGTGAATTTGTTGTCTAATTTCTTTGCTATCGATATAATTGCAATGAACATTCCTGCGTTTTCGGAGTCACTTGCAGGTGAACCTGATGATATATGGATTCCTGATGGAATTCCATATGGTATATAGGGTCAGAGGGAACAAGTTTAAAACAATAATTATTCATTTCCATGGAGTCAACGACAGCTGCACGCTCGATTGATCTTGACCACGATTCATTATCGTGCTCTAACAATTATTATCGAGTTAAACCCAAATGATTAAAAAGGAACTCCGTCAAACCACTCAACTTTACAAACATTTTCAACCAGTCTTTTGAAAAGGAAAAACGAACTACAAATGAAATTTCATTCCTCTTACATTTTAAAATGTTTGAAGAATCCATGAATATAGTACGGAAATTATTACAGGGAGGATGAATGATAAATGCACAAAAAAATGAAACATGTATGACGTAGAACTTTATAACACTCTTTTATATTCGTAAGAACTATTCCTGTCATTTTACAACACTTCTCTTCAACTTCACTTCTTGTTTGTCTGTCTGCTACAAATCTTGTAATCGAAATTTAACACACTTCTACTTATCCTATCGATCTGAAATTTTGCACACTTGCGTAAAGTTGGAGACAATGCACGAATCAAATGACAAAATAAATAATTTTAAGAATAAAATTTTTTCAATATTAAAAAAACTGAAAAAATAATTTTGTCAGCTACATATCTTATAATTGATATATGACACACTTTTACCTCTCCAATTGTTATGAAATTTTGCACAATTGTGTGAAGTTGGAGGCAATGCATGAATCAATTGACAGGATAAATAATTTTGAAAAAATTGTATGTATTAAAAAAAGTGAAAAATTATTTTGTTTAATATTCGAAAATGAAATTAAAAATTCATTGTACATCTGTAACATTGGAAACACTGGATTCTTTAGAAGTGTTGTCTTTGAAAAGTGATTTTTAAACGTATATTATTAACAGCTGTATTGCCTGCTCTCTCATTTTTCAGTATATATTCGATGGTTGAGATTTGATGAAGTAATTTTTTACCAGATGAAGTATTTTCGACTTCATATCTAGTGAAAAGAATCTTTAAAACCAATTATTGGTAGCCTTTTATTTATACAAGGGATTTTTCTAATGTTTATGAAGAGAAGAACTAGATGGATTCCCTCGAGTTTCACTCTCCTTGACGCTTCATGAACAATCTGATTTCTCAATTAATATGTTGCTGCTCGTGAACTTAACAATTTTTATACCCATGGGATTGTAAATTTATGGGTCTGCCTGCTCACGGTTATTTCATGTTTATTTGTCTTCATTTGTTGTTTTAGGTTCTGATTTATTCAATGTAATGTCTAGTTCACGAATTGCTTGTATCTTGCTTGTATCTATGGCTAGGATTTTAAAGTAACACCGGAGCTGGACTCCGAATTTGTTGTTTGCAAATAAATGGTGAATTTGTTGTCTAATTTCTCTGCTAGTAAATTATTGGTAAATTTACGATATACGCAATCTGGTGATCTTAATACTTCTATAAGATTATTTTCGTTCTTATTTTCTTCTATGAATTGTTTGGAAAAACCTTTTGAATAGTGACGTGTAAATCAGAATGTTAATATCAATTAGTGGTGTGGAAATCAGAGTATTAATGTCAATTATTGGTTTGTAAATCAGAGTGCTAGTATCAATTAGTGGTGTGCAAATCAGAGTGTTAATGTTTTAAATCCAATCCGTAGTTTGTTAAAAATTAACTGATTTTTCCTGACAAAATACCTTTGTCGCCAGAATCACACGGCCTGCTGAGACCAATAATCCGCTCATCGGGATTAATGCTCAGCAGTTACGTGAGTAATTGTGGATGATTTATGAGTAAATTGCCCGCAATTAATAATAATTATTCAAATTACGTCCCAACATTCATAAATCACGTTATGCAATTTAGTCTACGGAGACAATGGCTCTCTTGCACGCTGATGATTTGTGGTGATATTATCAACATTTGTTGACCACTTTATTTAATGCCGCACATTTTTTATTTGCACAGACGTCGCTTATGAGATGGGTTTACTTAACTTCGTAGCCATTATCACGTGGTCAGGTTTGAGACGAGGCAGGGTGTGGACACCCCGCGGGTTTATTTAACTTCGTAGCCATTATCACGTGGGCAGGTTTGAGACGAGGCTGGGTGTGGACATCCCGCGGGTTTATTTAACTTCGTAGCCATGATCACGTGGGCAGGTTTGAGACGAGGCTCGGTGTGGACATCCCGCGGGTTTACCTAATTTCGTTCCCACGCTCGGGCAACACCTGGACGCGGTACCTGGTGGAGGGCGCCACGGGAATCTTCACGGGCTCTGTCTACACGAGCTATATGCTTTATAACCTTGGTGATTATTCTTGTCTGTAATTCACAATTATTCATGCACGTATAGACTTCTGTGTCTCGAAATGAACCCTGAAAAAATAATGTGACAGAGGGAAAAAATTGTGCCAGAATATGAAGGTATGAAATGAGACATTACTTGTGTCCTGTGTTACAAAGCTTTCTTTCCGGTTATTGTAAAACTACGAGACAAATAAATATAAATCGAGACGTAAGGTAACGATACGAGACATTTTTTATTTATCTAGAGGAAACACGATGTTCCATTATGATACGAAAGTAAACGAATCGGCCAAAACGCGCTGATTAAGTTGACCTGATTAAGGTTAACCAGTTAACCCTTGATTTTTGATGGGCAGATGCCACTCATGAACAAATTAGGCGACATTTGACGGCCAATCTAACGTGGCAGTTAAATTAGTGAGCAGACATGGCTACGTATGGCTGCATATTGAATGAATGGAGTTGATGTTGAGCATTTAATCGCGCCTGACAAGAACCGTACTAGTTCAGAACAGTTTAGACTCGTAATGACATCATCGCACGTCAATGACGCAGGCCGCAGTGTCCATTAGTTAGCCAATTATTTGGTAGTGTTCACTCTCTAGCTTCTAGGTAGTGTTCACTCTAGCCCTCTCATGCAAGCTGCCAGGAATCGAAGGCGATATTTTGAGGATATTTTGGAATTTTTGAGGAGCAAAAAATACACCAACGCAGAAGGTGCAGATCTGTGTCACTATTTATAAGGTCATTAATGGCTAATCATTGGGTACGCGCAGGCATCAACATTAATTTCAAACCCAAGTTAAGTTTTCAAGTTGAGTTCAAAGAGCTAGAAAAAAATAAACCCAGCCAAAAATGAGGGACTGATGTNAATTAATTAATTAATTGCCACAGGAGAGTAATTACCATAGTAAAGAGAGCAATTAATTAATTAATTGCCACAGGAGAGTAATTACCATAGTAAAGAGAGCAATTAATTAATTAATTGCCACAGGAGAGTAATTACCATAGTAAAGAGAGCAATTAATTAATTAATTGCCACAGGAGAGTAATTACCATAGTAAAGAGAGCAATTAATTAATTAATTGCCACAGGAGAGTAATTACCTTAGTAAGGAGAGTAATTAATTATTTAATTACCACAGGAGAGGAGAGCCATTAATCTTAGCCATAGGAGAAGGGGCACCAACTTCTAGGGCCATACCTTCAAAAAAAGTTAAGAGATCTCAAGTTCATCAGCCAATCATCGACGGTATTTGAAGCAAAATCCACCAATCATAGACAAGAAAATAGAGCGTAAGTACTTACGTTAACTTAGCGAGTTTTGAAAGTATGGCCCCTGCTCCTTAAACTTGTTCGTTTTACCGCTCGGTCATTCAAATTTGCACAGATTGTTGAAAAGAAGCAAAACTGCTTAATTGGCTTAATGTTTGCTTCTTGCAAAATTGTTGGATGATAGTAGGTATTCAATATACCGCTACTGACCGCTACTCGTTAACAATTAACCCCTGAAGCAGTACTCTTTAATTACTGTATAGTACGTCTCGTTAAAAAAAATATTCACATTCCGGGAAATTTGAAACTCCTATTATGTCTAATACGTCTCGGTATTGTCCCAGAATTTACGCAGGTAGCTGAAAATTGTCCGGATTTTTCTCGTTAATCAGAACAAAGCGTCTTGCCTCGTTTCGTCTCGAGTAAAAAAATACCAATCGCAGGAGTCTCTACACGTATTCAACGTGTTCATTGATTGACTTCTCTGGTGCAAGGCTTTCAATTCACTTTCCTGAATGATGAATCCTTTTATTTATCTATTTAAAACTTCATTAGTGGATAAAATCAAGAAAACACTCATATCAAATTTTTGGAATCCTTTAGGTCTTATGTGGCTATCTTCATTTTCACGAATCTCGTTTCAGACTACCTTACTCATTGTTCAGTCTTTGATGGTATGCCATTACCTGATGGAGTAACCCTCAATTTTAGCTTCGTTGCATGTTTCCTCGAGAATAATACCGCGCACATTTAATGGCAGGATACCTGGGCGAGAAGCAGAACATTACATCGAACACGACACTGTTGATCAAAGATCACCTGTTCGGAGACAAGAGCGCCCCACGGGACGGCCCGATAGTCTTAATTATACGTGATCCGAGAAAGTGAGTTGAAAAGTATAATAACTAAATAACTAAATCATATTGCATGAAATAAAATACGAACTTACGTATTATCTCTATGATTGCATGGTAATTTTTGGTGATAGGAAAATCTCATAGGACAATCTCAGAAAAGTTTAACACCTGACATCTTATACCTGAGAAGAAACTTTACGAGGCCGTATATGAAAAAATATTTGAACATGAATTAATGTTAACATTTTTGGCTTTTTGAATTAGTCAATAAAAATGTAGATTGACACATCGGTTCAAAGCGATTGAGGTCATTCTGCTCTATATCGAATTTCTACATAATAATTCAATGTACGTTATAACATTTTAAATTTTTTTAGGTAGAATGCCGATATCACAAAGCTTTTTCATTTGCTTTATGAAGTGCTACAAATCAATGATTAATCAACATCTAAATATGCTTCATACTAGGCAATGCTTGACAGGCATAGAAGTTAACTTTGATAAATATTTTTATTTTTTTGTGAATTTGCAAGTTTGTTCCTTGATATGACTTCTTGACTGGGCAGTGCGATAACCTCGTATCTGGCCTTCAAGAAGGCTAGGAAAATGCACAAGAATCCGCTCATCTACAACGGCCCGGAAACGCTTCAGATTGAAGGTAAATTTTAATGTTTGCTTGAACTATCAAAGCTTAAGTTTGCTTACGTATACGTAGTGGCTTCATTACACGTAGTGGCAAATTTCTCGTCTATGACTGATTGGTTTAGCTTGAAAAGCCGTCAGTGATTGGCTGTCGGAGTGACGAACTCGTAACTATTTATGACAGTACGGCCCCAGAACGATTAAGTATCATATGATATGGGGAACTTTTTTATTTAAAATTAACTATATATGGATTTGAATTTTTATGTAGTCAAGCGATTCGACCTAATGTGTGTTTTTACAACCTTTAAAAAAGTATGACATTGAAAAATATTAGTGACCAGTAATTAGTACTGGCCACTGACGTCAACTTCACTCTGATGCTTCCTCTACGTTATATTGATAGCTACATCATTCCTACAGTAACAGTATTCGTCGTTGATCATCGAACGACCTCAAAACCTATATGTAGAAAATTGTTTATGCATGATCTAGAATCGAATACTCACTTACCGTTCGGCACTTGTCAATTTATTTGCATGTAGAAATGCTGCTCATCTTTCATCCTCTATGAATTTGAACTTCAACATTAACTGCAAATTTATTCGAACAGATTTCGAGAAGGACTTGGGAAACTACATTGATTCCTGGGAACGGGTAAGACTTTTTAGGCATGAAAATTTTATTAGATATATAGTAGATATACAAGGATGTACAAGGTATAGAATTCAGGTAGAATTGCGCTTTGTATTTAGAAAAATAATTTCCTATTACTATTTTGCTCTGCCTGTGCCGATAAGCGTTGCTCAAACAAAAATAATAACTAACAATTGTATATACAATCGTACCGTGGTGCTTCGGCACCTATAGCTAAACCCATGATGGGTGTAGTGCTGTACTTGCTGCAGGACATAACTTGTATATACTTTTCGCAGGACACAAGTTGCACTTGTCGCAGGATACAACATGTAATAGTTACGAGGCACCACTTTGTAACTGTCGCAATGGATGCTTTAATAAATCCGGGATGAATATTGTGGATCGCAATTTATGCAACACGCAGTAGTGAGTTCGCCAAGAATCTAAAAGGAAAGAAAACAGCCAAAATATTCACCATTTCTTAGGAATGAAAAAGTTTCAGAGTCCAGCTCCATCGTCAGCTCAAAAGTTCAAAACATTTAAGAAAAGCAGAATCAATTTGAAAACTAAATTCACATCGAAGATAAAAACGCAAATTGACAATAGAAAATACAAATACTCATGAGGAGACAGATCTATCAATATACAATTTCAACGGGATAGGAGCAGAAGGCTGCATTTAAACTATATTTCTGTTTAAAATGTACAGGGATTCTATAATTCGCAGGTCAGCAACACCGGTCGTGTAAGCTAAAACTCTAGCGTAGTAGCGAAAGACTACTGTTACATTACCGTTAACTATTTTTTCGAACATTAAAAAGTAAAATTGAGATCTTCATATATTAAGGTTGATGGTTGAAACAGGTTGCGACGAAGGCCATGACGAACCCCACAGTTCTGGTCCTTCGCTACGAAGACATCAAAGCTGACCCCATCAGATCCGTGAGGAAAATCCTTGCGTTTCTCAACATTCGTCCAGACGAAGACCGACTCGCCTGCCTCGCAAGACATGTCGAAGGCAAAGTAAACAGAGGACAACCGGAAGTGAGTTCCGTCTTATATTGTCTTTTTATTAATCTAATTTTTATTCCCAGAAACTTAGGTTCTAGTAAATATATTTCACGCGTGTTATTTTCTGGGGTTTTAGTGCAATCATTTATCTAAAGGAATTTATATCCTATGAAATGAATGAGCAATGGAAAATATGATGAAGCGATAATAATTTGTGATGGTATCAATGACATAGGCTTTGGATCAAGCTAACACAGAGATTTACGTTAGATGACAATAAATCCCTAATATTAACTAACATACGCTTCAACAAACTTACCTTAAATAAAAAACTTTTACTATTGATATGCTTTAAGGTCTCCACAGAACATAAACCACGGAGATCTAACCTCAAACAAAGAAGATACATACCTTCCGACACTATGTTTGTCTGACGTGCCTGCACTTTTGATAAGGGAATTAAAAAAAACTTTTCACTTATGGATCATTACTGTAACATCTAGTTTTCGACATACAGTCCTGTAAATTTCATGAAATTATCAGTTTTATATGCTTTTTGTATCCAAAGATCAACAGGGAATTATCATTATCAGCTCAAGTCTAAAAAATGAAGTAACTTGGCGAAGCAGAGTATCAGAAAACATTAATGACCGTTCATGAGATGCGAGCAGCTGCAGCTAAGACAAAACTATCAGATCGACCATTTGTGCATATAAGGGCATTTTGCAGGACTACATGGTGAAGCATCTGCAGAGAGATCATTATTTGCTGCTCCAGACACCAAGTCACTCGGATAATCAATAGATAAATTTTTTTTTCTTCCTCGCGTATAAGAAAAGCCTTCCCCTCTAACTTTTACTTCTTAATATCTTTTCTCCAAGACTTGACCACTGTTAAACACGACGTTACTCAAACTAGTTAAAGAAAAAATATGAAGATTAAAAAATATTTCTGTATACGATGGCGATTTGCTTCAATATACAAGTTATTTTGATGCGTATTGAATTGCATTGACGCTGTTTGTGTGATTGTGAGGAACGAACTCCAATTTTTGCATCTCTTTGGTTTAAAACAAGTCTGGTCTTTGACTGCTCTGGTACCAACACTAATTTTCTGAAGCGCTTTGAGAACCTGAAGCGCACAGTTGAAGGTTTATGTTCTGACACAAAATAAATGGGAACAATGCAAGCAATTGTACAGAGTCCATTCAAATTCCAATTTTGTAAGCATAGTCAGTGGAGAATCGAATATATTTTACATGAATAAATTACGCGTATGGAAATTTTTTTTTTATGGAGCACATGGTGGTCAACAATTAATACACTATTGGCCCTTAAAACTAATTCATTTTGAACCCATGCATATAATATTCACATGTTACTTCCACGTGCGTGGATGTGAATTGGGTTCATGATGGCATCATGAACCCAATATTCTTATTGGGTTCATTAGCTTCTATGTTTCTAGAAGCTCAGTGAGCTTCTAGAAACATAGATCGAAAAGTCACAACTCGAATACACGCGTACGTCCTGTTGATTGTTGTCATTCGATTGCAGATGAAGAGTGCAAGGATTTTTTTCGCAATTAAAGTCTTCAAAAAAATTTTGAAATCGTGTCATGTGACCTGTGCATGTTTTGTTTTCTTCTTACTTATAGAGGTATAAATGAATCGGTGATATGGAACATCTTCGAACTTGATGTGCCCTTAAGGATCTAATTTCTAAATCGTTGAAATGGCATATTCCTTCAGAAATAATGATAATACTAATAATAATAGCGGTTTCAGTGTTTAGTAGGCCGTAGGCCTGTCGCCGATTCTGACCATAAACTGGCGCACAGAGCTGGGATTGAACCCGCGCCTCTCTTCTTCAGTCTTGCTTCACTTAACTGTAACCACTGGGCAACTCTGCCCTAGTGTGATTCTTGACTTGGATTATAAAAAATTTAGTATAGTGAGTCATGCCGATGAAAATACATCTTTTATCTGATTATTATATCCAACAGTTGGATATCTACACTGCTGAACAAGAGATGATCTTCTCTGCAGCCATCGCCAGAGTCTCCAGGCTCATGGAATCAAAAGGATTGCCTCCATTGCTTTATAACTCATAGAATATGACTCAGAATTCTTAACCTCTCCCGTAAATGTTGCGAAGCTTGAATTTGAGTTACTCATGGTACGACATAAAAGTCAGCGCTGGCCAGAATGGTGAAAGCGTTCGTTTATTGAAAAAACTCCAGTTTATTCAATAAGCATAGGTATGCGTAGATACTATCTAATGCTGATTTGATTCTGATTTTTTGATAAACTTCCTAAGTTGATAGTGAACTATTCAATTTGTTTCCTTCGCCATCTTTCTTCTTCCAATAAAAGTTTTCCCACCCAAGAACGATGATTTACCCTAATCACGATGATTTACTCTAATCGCAATGATTTACCCTAATCACGATGATTTATCTTACTCGCAACGAGAATTATATTTCAGACTGATCATAAAATAACTTGGGTGGCAATTTAATTGTATAGGCAATTTGAGGGAGATTGGTTTGATGTCGAAATAATAAATTACTTCATCCAATACCACCTGCCCAAGTGGCTACGTTATTGAGCAAAAGCTTTCCATTCAATCTTAATACGATTCATACTTACTTTAAAATATACTTTACTTTATTTACATTACTTTAAAAAATTTTATTTCGTAGGTATGCTACGAAGCTTTGTGATAGTTGGAATGATCAAATTTCTTTGCATATACAAGGAAAGCATTCCAAGGATGTAGATATCATACTTAACAAGTTTTGCACTCTAATCGTCTGCGGTATGCAATAAAGCTGATTTCCGTTGCATACTTAATTGGCCTTTATGCTGATACATTATTTATGAATTCATCATCGTATAACAATGCGCAATTTTATAGGTAAAAAGAGAAACCACAATCAGATGGCAATGGATTCCAACAGTTTGAATAAATAAAAGCAGTGACTTACTTTACTACGGACATCAGATTCAATTCCTGTTCTGATTACATCTGACGTAGCAGGAAAGAAGTCTCCGTACAAAGGCAAATGCAAACGCCAGCATTGCCACACCTGCTCAACTGACTGCACAGCCTCGATACATGAAACTTAGGACAGAGTTGTAGCCCAATGTCACTTCTCAGTCTAATAGCCAAAACACTGGAAAATATTATCCTTGACACCATTGCACCTCCTCTCCCTAACATTGAACACCAACATGGCTTAAAACAACACCATTTCAAGATCACAGCGCTCCAACACATCACCGAACACATTGCCACAGGTTTTAATAAAAAACGTCCGCCACCTTGAACAATAGCCTTAGCATTAGACATGAGCAAAGCATTTGATACGGTTAACCTGCACACACTCATGAACAAACTTTCCACAACCGCAATAGAGCACACTACACTTCAAATTGTTGGCATCCGTCCATCTCGAGAGATGATGGTGTGCACCCCTTTCGACATCGCACAAAACGCCGTCGGCAGCGCCTCGAGTGGCTCGCCAGGCCGATTCGGGCATGGCAGTCACGACCGCAGTTGGCGCAAATAAAGCCCGATGGTGCGACGATGTTGTTCCTTGTCTGCTGTCTGGCTTTCCGGAGACGGTGCTTGTCTTCAAGCTCACGGCTGAGCAGCTCCTCACCCCTCCGGACTCCCTCCCGAACGGCCCGCCGCCAACCGCAGCGGTCGACCGCAAGACGCTCCCAGGTTTGGGGGTCGATAAATGCTGTTCTGAGGCTGCGCTTGCAGACGTCTTTGAAGCGCAAAGCCGGACGGCCGGTCGGGCGCGCACCCGCAGCTAGTTCTCCGTAGAGGAAATGCGACCTTGGGAATGCGACCATCCTGCATGCGATGCACGTGTCCGAGCCACGCAGGAGACGGCGCCGGCACAGGAGGAGATGCATGCTCATTGTGCCGGCTTGTTCCAAAACAGATGTGTTTGTGACCCTGTCCTCCCATGTGATGTTAAGGATGCGGCGGAGGCAGCGAAGGTGGAAGCACTCTAGACGGTTTTCCTGTTTAGCGTATGTGGTCCAGGTTTCGCTGCCGTACAGAAGTAGTGACGCACGCATGATACACTTTCAGCTTAGTGTGAAGCAACAACCGCCAGTCTGGCCATCACACTTGACGCTTTTGCAATCCTCTTGTCGATCTCGCTATCGAGGGACAGGTTGTTACTGATGGTGGAGCCCAGGTAGGTGAAACGCTCGGTGACTTCGAGCTGATTACCGTCAATGGTGATAGATGGGGGCACTACAACATCCTGACCCATAACATTTGATTTCCTGATGTTGATTGTCAGGCCAAACTCCCTGCAGGCGTGAGCGAAGCAGCCCAACAGCCTTTGTAGATCCTCCTCGGTGTGGGAAGACAGCGCCGCGTCATCAGCAATGAGCAACTCTCTGATGAGGACAGCACGCGGACCTTTGTTCTTGCTCTCAAACAAGCCAAGTTGAAGAGTTTGCCATCGCTTCTGGTGTGTAAAAGGATGCCCTCAGTTGAGTCTCTGAACGCGAACTTGAGCAGCAGTGAGAAGAAGATGCCGAAGAGAGTAGGGGCCAGGACACAGCCCTGCTTTACTCCGCTTTTGATACTAAAAGGCTCTGAGGTATTGCCATCATGGCTGACTATGCCTGCATGTCGTCATGGGAGGAAGAGATGATGCTGAGAAGACGGGGGGGGGACAACCTATCTTCCTCAGCAGCAAGAACAGACCTCTCCGGCTGACAAGATCAAACGCCTTTGTCAGGTCGATGAACGCAATGTACAAAGGCCTCCGCTTCTCACGGCACTTCTCCTGCAGCTGGCGTAATGAGAAAATCATGTCTGATGTGCCCCTTTGGGCCCTGAAACCGCACTGGGATTCCGGGTAAACGCGATCAGCGAGGACTTGTAGGCAACCGAGCACCACACGGGAGAAGACCTTGCCCACAATGCTGAGTAGCGATATTCCTCTGTAGTTGTTGCAGTCGCTACGATCGCCTTTGTTTTTGTACAAAGGTATAATCTTTGCGTCGCGCATGTCTTGCGGTACCTGGCTGCAGAACTGCGGTACCGCAACTGCGGTCCTGCAGAACTTGCAGGAGACTGCGCTGCAGTCTCCTGCAGCGCTGCTATATCCACGTTTAGTCTATGTAGCTCTCTGTCAATCACTGCGGTCTTGCGAAAGTCTGAAATGACACGGAGGTCGTCGGACAGGCCGGTGCGCATCGTACGCACGTTCCAGGTTGAGATTCGAAGTGATGGAGGCTCCATCTGCTGCTGCGGCACAATGACTTCCCACTGTCGAAGTCAGACCTCGGAGTCCAACTCTACGCTAGTTGAGCGAGGAATTAATGCCCGTTAATTATCGTAGTTAACGTATTCCGTTTCTGCTCACACACTGGACAAGCGTGACAAGCGTGACCTCTCAGGGGCACAAGCCTGGACGGAAGTATGGAGATCTTGCGCTGCCCAAAAAACAGGATCTCCCCCTCGGTCGTGCCGACTGGGTCCAGGGGAATGCAAGCATTACGTTTGGAGCCGACTTGACTGCAGGAGTTGCCGGGAGGACGTCCAAGTTGACATCCAGCCGCCTTAGGGACTCCGACTCCAGATTTTTCCTCGAGTTTTACTCCTGAAGCCTTTCCCGCGTCTAGGTGTAGCCGCAAGGCAGCGGAGGTTTTTTAAAAATCAGGGTTTTCCTTCCCCTAGATGGACAGTCATTCTTGACTAACGAGCCCCATCTACCCGGAAACAATCACTGCGTGTAAAGTAAAAATAGATTGGAACTGTACAGATGCGTCTTTTGATAATAGTAGTAAATTACTTGGGCGATTGCATGACCTTGGTTCCGGACATTTGTGTTGGACCTTCGAATGTGAGCCACAGATAGAGGCGAGCTTTGGCTAGCAAAGTCCCGCTGTGGCCACTCCGTAAAACTGACTCTGAAAAAGCGAAAAAATATCCAAACTCCAGCTACTTAGGCTGCCAAAGAAAACACAATTTGGCCGCCAAGCACCGTTGCTCGAGGATTTCACTGCCAGACGCGGCTGAAGTACTTCCGTTTTCACGGTTTACGTAGCCGCGCGTTGGTNTCCCCGCATCACAGATCCACCCATCTGAAATCAACCTACCTAGACCTGCACGCAGGAACCTTGCCCAACTTCGCACAAACAAATCACCACTACTTCTCTCATATCTAAACAAAATAGACCCTGCCACACACCCTTCTCCACTTTGCCCACTCTGTCTATCCAACATGCACGACATCATTCATCTTTTCTCCTGCCCTGAAATGCTCACATCCCTGTCGGTGGGTGACCTTTGGGCAGACCCGGTCAACTCCGCGGGGCCTGCTGGCCCGCTAGGACGACCGACTTGGCTGTCCCCAGAACTGGGTCTAGGCCCCGCCTCGCGCCGTGAAGCGAGGCGGGGAGGATCAACAACAACACAGTTGTAGGAACTCTGTCATACCAAGAACACCAAGTGACTTACTTAAATAGTGAACATAGAACATTCAATTAAGCCGAACTGTAAATTTGACTGAAACGTATCGTATAATTGGGCATTTGAAAACGTAATTTACGCTATAACTAAGTTGGAGAATACAAGTGTGACAAGCGCGAATAAGTTCAGTCAATAAATAGCGTTGCACGAATATTGCACTAACTATGAAGATTTATAGCGTCTTTGAAATTCCGTATTTTTGTTTGAGGGTAAACTGATTGTCAGGAGGCGCGATTACTCCTGGTTGCTGAGCGTATCGTCTGCTGGTGGTCCTAACAGTATTCACTTTAACGCTATTCATGTTTTTTTTTATTGTTGGTTATTGCGTCTGTCAAGCTCGCCGGGGGCAGGCTCAGGTGGCGGCCGGGGGGCTGGCCCCGGAAGGGAGAGAGATGGGCGAAGGCAGGGAGGGTGGCCAGAAATGCCGCTGCCTGCACGGGGCTATCCCACAGTGAGGAGACGCTGAGCTACTCGGGGAAGGAGGGGCAGGCGAAGAGATGCTGGGCGGGCTGGAGGGGATCCTCGCACTCCGGGCAGGCGGAGCTAGGGGAGCGTCCGATCCTAGCGGAGTAGTACGCCAGGAAGCTGCAGTATCCCGAGAGGAGCTGGGAAAGGGCCGACCAATTGGAGGGGATCCCCGCACTCCGGGCAGGCAGAGCTGGGGGAGCGTTCGATCCTAGCGGAGTAGGACGCCAGGGAGCTGCAGTATCCCGAGTGGAGCAGGGATAGCGCCGAGCGGTAGGGGCGAGGGAGTGAGGCCTTCGCCGATGCGATCGGCGGTGGCGGAGCAGCGAGGACGGCGTTTATAGCGTCAGTCACCGCAACGCTGGAGGCGATCTCCCTGCGGAGAGAGTGTGTGCAGAGAGAGTG